GTCAAGTAAATGATCATCATGCTATTGAGTTTTTTTTTATACGAGCTTTAGAATGTCAGAACTATTACGATTCTTTGGAGGAGCATGCATTGGAAATTTTCTTAAAGGAGGATTTATCAAAAAAAAACTATAGTACTGTTTCATATGTACATGTTTATAATTACAAGAGATCATCCACCGATAGCAGCACCAATCAAAGCTCCGGCAACAGCTCCTCGTACTGCTCCTCTAACTGGGTTGTAAGGGCGATAGTAGCCATAAGGTCCATAGCCGTAGCCAACACCATAAGGTCGACCATACATGCCTCCTCCATAGAAAGGTCTAGGTCCATAGCCCCACTGAGCGCTAATGGAAAGCACGATAGCAAAGGATATCGAGAAGGCCAGCAACAACTTCATATCTGAAAAGAAAAATTCAGCGAATAATTTGTACTTTGTCATGTGCCACATCTACTTGTGTGAGAAGGAAATGAGAAAAACATATTTACTATGCGCTATGCTGTCCTTGGATTCCCCTCTTTTAAAGGGGCATTCTTTTCTTGCGAAAGCCGGTTCTAGGCTGCTGTTCGGGGAACAGCGAAGATCATTCGGTGCCGATCTTTTTTCTCATCATTGTCAGAATGTCCGATCAGCATCATAGATCAGCTAAAAAAATAAATATACTCTTGGAGGCTTAGTTGACCTTTCTGCAACGGTCTCTTGCACCAAAAGCCGCTTTGATTTTTCCATATAATCGCAACATACTCCTATCTGCTTCATAGATATTCCCGTTGGAGAATACTTTTAAGTTACCCAGTTTTCCCCTATATACTACTCATATGTCCGATGAGCTAGACTCACTTTATGTAAGGTAAAATAGCTTGGGCTTTGGTAAATGTTTAGTAAGAGATTCAGCGAGATAGATGTCGTGCGACTAAAAGAAAAAATGATTATTTACTGGTTAAAACTTTATACTACATTGTACACAAATTTAGTTTTCTGTAAAAAATATAAGAATAAGGGATAACTATAAGGGAATGGCAAAGGACATGGGTACGCAACGCATCTGTTAGTCGCCGGCAGAAGCAGGGCTTTTTTTCAAAATTAAGATCAAACTGTAGACTAAACCTACAAGTAATTAGCGAGAATTATATCACCTATTCCAGTGCAGGCAATTAGAATTTATAGAAGAAGAGCGTACAGTCAAATGGTAATTTCGTAGATAAGAAATCACAGACGTG